CACTGAAGAACAATTTACATTTGGGCTTCCATAAAGTGGACTGAAAAGCTGTTTGAATTAGAACCAGAAGTAGTCCAGATTAATAACAGTTCCACCCATTACCATCCCAGTGTTCAGATCAGCTTGGATAGCAGTATTTAGTGGAATGCTGATGGTTTGACCATAAAATGAAATCAGATCTGATCTTAAAACAAAAAACTATGGGTGTTGGAAATCTCAAACAAAATCAGAAATCACTGGAGAAGCTCAGCAGAATTGGCAGCATCTGGCAGATTCTGAAGAAGGGTCACTGGATCCAAAACGTTAACTCTGCTTTCTCTCCACAGATACTGTTAAACCTGCTGAGTTTCTCCAGCAATTTCTGTTTTTTTTTGCATCAGAACTGATCTTAGGTGTGGTTTGCTTCTGATATAATTGATTTTGTGTCAGTAATTTTAATAGTCAAAGATCTTCTTTTTCTTTTCTCATCCATTATACTCCTTCTGGAGAATAGAACAGCTTGTACTTCACATTCGACTCTGTAAATGTCAAATATTCCACTCAATTTTACCCTTTTGTAACACATTTGAGCACATCAAAATAACTTCCTTCTGAGATGTATTGTCTTTTCTTCCAGATTGAAAATCAAAGAACAAAGAATTGTACAGCACAGGAACCTCCAAGCCTGTGCTGCCATGTTTTACCCTTCCATGCTAAAACTGTCTTCACTTACAGGATCTGTATCCTTCCATTCCCTTCCGATTCATGCATGTGCTTCTTGAATGCTGTTATTGTGTCCGCTTCCACCACCTCCTTTGGCAACGCGTTCCAGGCACTTGCCACTCTTCATGTGAAAAACATGCCTCGTACATCTCTTTTCAACTTCCCCCCTCACACCTTGAACCTTTGTCCCCTAGTAATTGACTCCTACACCCTGGGAAAAAGCCTCATATTTTCCACTCAATCCATGACGTTCACAATCTTATAAACTTCTATCAGATCGCCCCTCAACGTCCCACGTTCCAGTGAAAACAAACCAATCCATCCAACCTTTTCTATACCCTCTCCAAAACATCCACATCCTTCTGGTAGTGTGCTGACTAGAATTGTACACAAATCCTGCTTGGGAACGTTTTATGTGACCAATAAATTCAATTCCCTGACTAGAATTAGGACTAAGCTGATTATTTGGAAGCTCCACCCAGCTGGATTGTGCAGGGCAGGCTCACTTAAATATAATTAAAACATTTCAGCCACGCAGGGGGCTTTAGGGAACATGGGTGAGGATTCAATTCTACAATAAGCTTCATAGGAATACAGTTGAACTGACACTTGATTGCTATGTATTCTTTTTCTATGATGTTGTAAACTTGTGAAGCAAGTTGCTGTTAAGTTGCAATGTGGCCAATATCACAACATGAGACAAAGTATAAATTTGTTTGGCTGTGCAACCTTCCTCAAACCAGAAACTTTTTACTTGCTTGATCTCCAGAACAGGTCTTTGGCAAGAAAATATCAATCTTTCTGCCAACTCCATCCTGCCTTTTTATAAAGAACAAAGAATAAGGAACAATACAGCACAGGAACAGGCCCTTCGGCCCTCCAAGCCTGTGCCACCACATTTTACCCTTCCATACTAAAACCCGTCGTCACTTACAGGACCCGTGTCCTTCTATTCCCTGAATCCTATTCGAAAAGAGAAACCCCAACATTCTAAAATTGATTATTTACTATTCTCTTCAGGATCTCTTTAAAGACATTGGTCATTTTGCCGGCAATTCTATTTGTCAGCCACAGTGTAGCTTTAAGACAATCATTGATCCTTTAAGATATCCCAGTGACAGAAAATTAGTCCCTTTGCTACTTGAAATGGGAGCAGTGTAATGTTCTGCTAAGGAGTTACCTTCATTTAATAGTATTAAGCAGGCAGGACAAATAGATCTACAAGCATAATTTTGAGTCTTAAATTCCAGAAGAGTAACTCAATGAATATGCTCCAAGTGACATAAACTACATTTGCTTGCACCAAAGATGTAAATCTAAAAAAAATTGTGGGGAATAAATGTTTGTATTTAAATAGGCAATCCAAAAATACAGCTGATTTTGGCTTTTGAGCATCATTTAATTTGTACCACTGTTGAGATTTTAAAGTTTGGGCAGTTGTGCTCTTGAACAAACCATTAAAGGGAAGATATAATCAGGATGCATTAACCTGGAAAGGGAGCATTATCACAAAGGACACAATCAGGATAGGGATTGTCTAACGAATTGGGAAAAGGTAGGAAATCAGTAGCTCACAGATTTCATATGGGGTGAAGTGAAGTGCATATTGACTTTTCAACTCCCTATTCAAGTCAGTTTATATTTTAAAACTTAGTTTTTTTATATAGTGAAAGTCTGCATTGTTTTCTTTCCCATCTTATAGATTGCATGCGCAGAGCAAGTTTCTCTGAGGGAACCAGGCACTTGCTTCAGGCATGGGCAGTGGATGCCTACGATGGTGCCCACAGCAACATGGTGAGAAAGGCAATTCAAATTTATAATGAGTGCATAATTCTCACCTACCATATTGAGCACCATTTTACTGCCAAAAAAAATGGCATGTTGTTGAATTTCTAATTAATACACAAGTCAGCAGCTCTGATTCAGTCAGAATGGGTGGGAATGTGTTCAATCATCAGAACTGGATGGGAAGATTGAATGCTGGGCTTTCCTGCGCAGTGTTGACTCATAGCAGGAGCATGACTTTACCGACAGGTTCCCTGCTCCTGGAGTTTAACTTGACTAACCAACTTTCATACAATTGAGTGAAAATGCTGGAGAAGAGAGTAGGTAGGCCTAATCCACAACCTCAGGGAGAAGGAGATCAATCCCAGGAATGAAGTGGATCTGGTTCCCAGGTCAAAGAGGTAATTGCTTCCAAATGAAAGGGTGGGTTTTCTGATTGTTGGGTGTCTGCAGCTATGAACAATCCCATTGGAAGAATGGTGTTAATATGGGGGTCATTGATTATGGTGGCAGGGAGTTTCTGGGTGTGACAGCAGTACATTGAGGTAAAAGGCTCTTACTCCTCCTAGTTCATGGGGTTTGCTTCCTAGGACTGTTTTTGCCTTGCTGCTATCACTTTGTTATCCAAAACCTAATTGATTACATTAATAGGATGTTCACTCAGCCAAGCAGATTAAATCTAAAGATCCCTGCCTCATTACTATATCTAAAATAATGTCAATACCAAACTACCTCTTGGGGGTGGATTTGCTACCCACCCCCTGTACCTCCTGAGCAAAATCTTCAGCTTGCAGGAAGTAAGATTTGAGCTGCTTTACAAGAGTTTTCTACCTGTTGCTTGTTAACCTAAGCCCATCAGTCTCACCATGTAAAAATTCTTCCATTTCAAAATTAAATGTTTAAAATTCTGTTATTGGAATGGAAACAGTAGCTCCTTGAGTTTTGTGGGTTGGTTGTGGGGTTTGGTGGCAAATCAAAGTTTATATACTTACAGTTACAATTCTGGTAAGCCTGTCAACTGTCTTTTGTTAATTTGCTGTTTTTAATAAATAGGGTTGAATACCAATTTATAGAGAAGAATCAAAAAGTTTGTATGGGTTCTGAAAGCAACAGTTGTGCCTCAACTTTCAGGTCATTATTTCCTCAGCAAGAACAATTTCCAACGATATCTTTAATGCTGTATTTATATTCCAAATAAAACATTTAATAATGTTTCTATTAGCACTGTACCTTGGATTGATTGCAGCAAATATTCTTGGAACATAACAAATAGTTAGACAAGGATCACCCAATGTAATATTTTACTTCCTCTGTCATTTTCCTCTACTGCCCTTCTAACTTAAGCTGAAATTGTCAACATTTTTTTAAATACAGCAAGTGGTGGTGAGTTTTGGTGCTCCACCCAAGCAATCTTTCCTAATGAACTTGCTTCGATTGGTTCTTGGAGTAATGGAATGAGCTAAACTATGTTCTTATTTGATGTCCACTCAAGTGAGCTTGGTATGCAAGACACCAGTCTGGAATTGGAATGCAAGCTAATTTTTCACTACCCACTCAAAAGATGCTAATGGTCAACTGAGATCAGTTAACTGCAGGTAAATGCTGGACTTTCCTTCTCTTTAAGACTTTATTAATTGCTGGATACAATAAGAGAACCTACGTTTCAGTATTTTATAAGCAGCTTTAAATATTAAACATTTCTCCATGTTAATGTGATGTTAGCGTTTATTCTATTGTTTATTCAACCATTCATAATTCTCAGAAATCATGCAATAATAACATATGGCTATAGTTTCACTAAGTTTCACTTATCAAGCCAAAACAGATAACATAGGGGGTTATTTCTCAAGTCTATGTACACAATTTGACAAGATGAGAGCTAAATAGGTAAACCAGATTACAGCCACTAAACAAGGAATATGCTCAGCTCTAATTTTTATTTCTAAATACAAATCATGTGTGACAGAAAAAGTATTACTAAATGTTCATATGGAAAAAAACATGGGAAAGCACTTTCACTCAAAGAAATTCATTCAAAAATACATGTTTAATTTATTACATTAAACGGAAACCTAAAATTATATCAACGATACGCCCTCCTTCATTCCACATTTGTTGTTTAATCTCAAATGTAATGTGGAGGTAAAATGGATTCAGGGTACAATATTTTCTTCTTAATCTAAGCTAGTGATTGACAAACACCTTCAGACTTCAACATTATCTGAAAATGCTTGTTTGAAGCACTCAAAAATGAGGTGAAATTTCTGAAGAAAGCGTTAACTCTGTTTTTGACTCTGCAGATCCTACCTGACCTGTTGGTTATTTCCAGTTAGCATTTTTGGTTTTATTTTGGATTTCCAGCACCTAAGCTATGTTGCACAAATGTTAACAGACTTGAATAGATATACAGAGCCCGTACAGTTTAACGACAGATCTCCATGTTTTAGAATTTGAAACAAGCATTGCAGACACAAACCTTTCAAGTCAGTATTAATGTGTAATAGATGCAGTACCTTTGTAGCTCCCTTAAAGTAGCGGAAATCTTCAAACTGTGGCCCAACACATACAGAGTAGTTAAGATATCAGCCCATTGAACCAACTCGCCCAGTGGGCCACCTTTCGATACCACAGGGCTGAAAACATCGCCTGCTTCCTCTGTCAAGAAACCCAGGTGAACCAAGATCTGTGAAGGATAGAAATTCCGCACAGTAAGTTTTCAGAGATTTTTGAGCTAGGCAGATGTTAATCACTCAATTTAGCATTAGTTAATCAATGTGAGTCAGCAATCCAGATCTAATCTATGTAATTTCTGCCATGATTTGCTTTTCTAGAGAGCTAAGAGTTGAAGGGTTCATGCTACAATGAAGCTCTGAGTTGAATCACTAAGCTGTGCTGCTATATTTCTTGGCTTTTATTTCACAGTATCTGCATTCACATGGCACAGAGGTTGACTGCAGAGGTCATTGAAAGTCCAAATTTGCACAATAATTAATTGAGAGACCTTTATGTTTCATGTTTATTGCTTTAATTTTGTCTGTGTGCAATTTTTTTTGCATGTACTAACACAAATGTTGAACTATTCAAGTACAATGCAAAGTACATCACATTCACCACTGCTTGAATTGTATATCAGTCTTGCCCGGCCTTTCTGTATTGATCAGTAAGGATCAATAAACTATTAATGAAATGTCAATTTAATATAAACAAAGCATGTTAAAGAGGCATTCTTATTTGATATTTAAGTTTCAAACAGAATACAGTAGTAACATGAATAATGATTCAATAATATTGCAGCACGATCAACCATGTATGGGAATAGAAAATTTTCATCTTGGTTTTAATGAAACATTTGCTAAGTCATTGTGCAGGTCTGCAATGCAATAGATGTGCCATTTGGAATAGCACCACCTGGCTCTTACAGGCACTAATATTTCATTTTGAGAGAACATTTCCATCCCCCCACATCCACCCCTATTTCCTCTTGCTTTGAAGGAGATAGAATTACACAAATTGGGCTGTGTTGCAGACCTCACATATGAATAATCAGTGAATACAAACCAAACACTACAGTCAGAGAGGAAGGAAAAAACCAGAGTAGTAACAGCTGGGATTCTACCCACTGGTAGTCAATCAGAAAATGCTATTGTCAGGTGCCTGGAGGCTCCCCAGCCCCAGCCAAACATGATTCATTTGGGGAGAACAGAAGGAAGGAAAGAAACTCTTTAGAAGGAAAGAGTCATCTTTGTGAGAAAAAAGGAAAAGAGGATGTAGTTTTACAGCTAAATTGTGTGATATGTAAATTAGATTAAAAGCTCCACCATTGGAGGCCTTGAACTACGTAACAATTCAAAGCACGCAAAGTGAGTTATAGGTCACTGAGTAGATGAATATTGGAAATCCATTTTACAGTACTATTCTCTATTGCCACATGGTTTGTGGCTCCAGATCCTATTGTGCACGTTGGAGAGATGGTTGTCATGTCTCTTCTTGGTAATGTGTGGCCTGTAATTTGTTCTCCTAAAAGTGACTGCTGCTTGACTAAAATTGTTTCAGCAAAGTGTTATATTTATGCTGTTCTACATAATACTGCTCTCTGCAAATATACCTCTCACTAGTACAAACTATTCCACTCTTACTTCACAGTCTCTTCACATAACTGATGTTACAGTACATTCATCACTATCTCCTAAACGTAACCATTCTCCTCATATGACACTACTGACCACCATCACTGAGAAACATTACAAGATACATACTGCCATCCCACATTAATTTTCCAATGTATATGTGACCAAACACAGATATTAATATATAACTAGTCAATTCAGAGTAATATTGCACATGGAGACAAGACCAAATATAATTTCAAGTGGAGAAGAATAAGAAGATAGTGATTTAGGCAGTTAAATCTGAGTAACAGTTGAGAGGTGAAACAGGGTTGAGGTGGGGGGACCGGAATAATTAAAACAGGGTACACAAATACAATTTAATCATACATTCTGTCCTTTTTTAGTCAATATATCGTTCTGATATTGTTAACTATATTTTAAATAGCAAACCTCATTGCAATCTGCAGGACAGAAACATAGAGTTGTGTGGGGCACAGCAATTCCACTGCCCTACATTCTCAGGAGGTAGGAGAGACAAAACTGTCATGCTACAGCAGCATCACTGGCCAGAGAGTGTAATATTACAGTGTGACATATTTCCATATATAGTTTCCATTTAAATATGGGAGTGGAACATGAACAAAATTTGACTGGAAGTGCAATTAGCTGGCAAAATTTTAATACATAGTCACTAAATTTTTGTTCATGTACAAAAGGCAATAAAACCAAGTCTTATGCTTTAAGTGGTGACAGATTCACACCAAAATTATCCTTGTCTTGCATATTGATATTGACTACATATATAGACACAAATACACAAGAAATTATAAATTGCCCCTAGACTATTTCATTATTCTCCATTTTTAGAATCATAAAACAGATCGACAGAATCATGAAATAGTATAGTAGGGAAGGAGGCCACTCCTATTTCTATGAAGAATGTGCCATTTATAAAGACCACATCTTTTTATATTTCTTTGTTTTGGATTGTGAACCAAAGAAGGAAAAGACTAGCTTTAAACCAAGGACTGTGAATCGGTTTACAGTATCAGAACCAGCTGGGGAGACCAGGATTTATCAGCATGGTAACAACGCTCTGCCTGGTTCTAGGACAGGTGGTCAGCTTGTATGTGAAAAATATAGGAGCAGAAGGCCTCCAGACTGAAAAAGGCAGCATCTGTGCTTTCCTGCTCTCTGTAGTGACATAACTAAAACCTGAAAGTTAGCAAGCTATTCTATCTCCTTACTTACGACAAACTGTTGCCTCTAACCAGTAACTGAGAAAACAAAAAAAACAATGTGTCTACCACCACCCCCAATCCTCCAGTCATGTTTCCAGCAAAGAATTGAAGGACTTTGATATGCTGATTGGAGGTCAGAAGGACTTGGAAGAAGCAAAAGGTTCACCTTATTGAATCTTTGGATTGGTGCTAGTAAAGAGCTTTCCCCATATCTTTACCTCCACCCACAATAGCCAGGTTTGTTAGATAGTCTAATCATTAATTGGTATTTCATGTTTTTGTTTGCCTGTCACTAGAATTGATTTATTTGTAATAAATAACAGATCACGTTAAGTACAGAAACCTGGTCAGTGTTTTCTATTAACTTGCGTCAATCAGACAGATAAATCAGGGAACTTGATTTGAATAAATTTTGAATTAAGTAATTTGAATAAATCTTTAATTTTTGTGATGACCCTGGCAATAGTAGTGCTCAAGTACTTCCCCTAAAGGATCATGACATATTCTGCAAGAAAATGGAATTGTGTTGTCTGAGGTCAGATACATTGGGCTGAATTTTCTCAGCCCTGGATAAACATGGGCAATGCTGAGCCAGTGAGAAAATATGATTAGATCAGAAAAATGACATTTTCAACTTATTCTCCAAGAAGGTCTAATTCTACAACCAGCTTTTGAAAGGTAAGGTAAGAACCTTGTTGATGTGTGGAAAGAAGCCTATTTTGTCTGCATTTATATCTCATTAATACCAAACACTGACTCATTTATATGCAAATTCCTATTCCTGCTGAAGCCAGATGACACCATTTTCGACACAACAATCAGAGTAGGTATCTGGCAGCTCCAGCTTGCTGCTTGCTCCTCTGGGCCTCCATCTTTGACAGCAGTCTCAAAAATCAGAGGACATGCTTCATGGGCAGTGACAGCCTGCATTGTTCGCGTACAGATGTTTGCATTGGCCATGCACCAGCCTCACCACATCCTCACAGGTCATCTCTGACCCAGTTAAAATACAGTTCTCCAATTCAAAACTGCACTTTTCAGAGTGCTGGTGCCTTTCATTTTAATGCTGCTTCCAGGACACTTTGCCCACAGGAACAAACACCCACCACATGGATTGGTTCAGGTTGTACCTCAGGGCTCCTCACTTGTTCTCTTAGCTGTCAATCACTTTGCGCCTACTTGGTTGCTCACAGTATCTCTCCATGTCTTATCTTGCATTGCGTTTTTGAGCTTTGTCACCTCATATTAGAATTTAAAGATTCACAGTTCTTCTGTCTTGCCTTGACTTATAACACAGAGACAAAACCAAACAGCTTGACCTGGTTGTTAGCAATCATCAGTCAAGGGGATGGACATATTATTGTATGGCTCTGTACAATGTTAATATCATACAGCACTATGACTCTATGGCTCTATGAGTTGTCTTTGGTCAAGTCAGGGGTCCTATTGTCAGTCCGTGTTCCTACCACAGTTATAAAGGGGCAAACTCCAATCTCAATCCAGGGGCTTGAACGTTGTCAGTCTGCCATTTGAGATGGAGTTCACTGGAGTCTGGGAAGTCAGCCATGGTCAGTCCTGCAGATCCAATCCAACTAGTCCAGAGAGTCACAGTAAATCTGTCAGGTAGCGGCACAGAGATCACTCAGGGATCCTGTCACTGATTAGTTTGATGGGGTTGGGCCACAGTCTGTCCTGGGCGCGTGCTCAGTGAAAATCAAGGGGGTTATGAGGGGCCATTGCTCTGGTAGGAAAGTCGGGGAAGTCAATTGTAAGGATTTAGAACCATCATGGTGAGATGCAGAGGGGACAATAATTATGAAGAAGGACACTCAACATACAGCCGTGGGAGGTGATAGTGCATTCGAGGACTTTGGTTACTGAAGGTGTATGGGGTATTATTGACAGTCACAACAACTCTGCTGTGCCAATCATTGTGTTGCACTGTCCCAACCCCACCAATGCCAATGTGTAGGGCCAGGGTTCAGGGGTAATGATGGACATGAAGACTTAAAGGTTTGGATTTGAACGTGTGCAGGCTCAGGATACTGTTAACTGGAAGTGCAAGGAAGAGAGGAAAGTGCAGGTTCAGGGAGTGACCTCATCATTATCAGACTGAGCCTGTGATTCACTGCGTCAACAAAAACAGAAGTTGCTGGAAAAGCCCAACAAGTCTGCAGCATCTGTGAAGAAAAATCAGAGTTAATGTTTCAGGTCTGGTGATCCTTCCTCAGAACGGGAGAGAGGAAACCAGCATGTTGCTTCTCACAGGACCCAAAATATTAACTCTGATTTTTCTTCACAGATGCTGCAGACTTGCTGATATTTTCCAGCAA